TGAACCACAATACGGCAATACAGTGTGTTAGGTGATTACATTAGTTGCTTTAAACAGTGCCCAACTTACTCTATAAGTACGTTACATTACTCATAAATCAAATTTTCTTAATGTGAATCATCACAAAAGGGAAAACTTATTTCTTATGAAACCCGATAAGTAACGTTATGCAGAACATTACAGCCAATACAGCGTTACATTAAATGATTCAGTGAAACAGTAATACTATATGTATATGTGATAATAATTGAACAATATACTTGACTCAGGAATTCAATAACAATATGCAATAAATTAATGAATGATGAAATCAATACATAAAGTGATCCTGATAAAAAAAAAAAAAAAAAAAAAAAAAAAAAAAGATACTCAAAGTAAATTTCTAGTGATTCGGTGCATTTTATAAAACCTTACATAATAAATTGATTAATGCGTACATTTTAAATACATTTTATGATACATTATGTAAAAAGTAGAGCATAGCATTCAGTAACAAATACATAAATAACCAATCATTGGTACACTGGTCTAAATACGCTAATAGGCAATTTGAATTTATTCAAGAATGCATTAGTACTCTATTTACAAATATTGCAAAGTAGAAGAAATACTGGCAATGCATACGAATATAAAAAGGGGGAAAATGGGCATTTAAATATGAAAAAAAAGCATGAAAGTTGTAGAGTCCAGCAGATGAACTTCTGTATGAAAACTGGAAACTACACAAGAGAAAGGTTAAAGTACCCTTAATTCAATCTTTGAAAATTTACAAGGCGTCAACTCGACGCTAACAAACTTCGTTTCTGCTTGAGCGGTAACTGAAAAATCAAGTAACGAAACTGCAATTTGAAGATATTAACAAATGATAGAACTAACCTACAGGGCTCAGGAAGATCCCGTAACTTAAATAACCTTCGAAACTTGTGGCAGCAAATAAATGCAATTAAGCCACTTGAATCAGCAATAAACAAAGGAATCTATGGCAGAAGTGGCGGCTGGAAAGTCTCTCTTTTCTACTACCGAAACTTGGCTTTTAAATACTTCCTGCAAAGTAGAAATTTGCATTCCTTCACGCGCGCTACAAAATTTAACTATTCTGGCACTGACAATTAGGGGAATGAAAGCTTATAGAAAAGTTTTTAAAATTAAACTTTAACTTGTTAGTTAAAATAAATATAAATCCCTATAGATAAGAACAAGGAAACTGCAAGTTAAAAAAAATAGTAAGAAGAAGAGTTAACATTGCTTTTAATTTTATAGTAATTATTCATGAAAGAAGCACACATTTCGATATAATTAAAGAGCTAAACAGTGAGTTTTTCATACAAACTTACACTGAAGTGACAAAAGTCATGGGATACCTCCTAATATTTTGTCGGTCCTCCTTTTGCCCGGCGAAGTGCAGCAACTCTACGTGGCATGGACTCAACAAGTCGTTGGAGGTCCCCTGCAGGAATATTGAGCCATGCTGCCTCTATAGACGTCCATAATTGTCTAAGCGTTGACGGTGCAGGGTTTTGGGCACGAACTGACCTCTCGATGATGTCCCATAAATGTTCGACGAGATTCATGTCGGGCGATCTAGGTGGTCAGATCATTCGCTGGAATTGTCCAGAATGTTCTTCTAACCAATCGCGAACAATTGTGGCCCGGTGACATGGCGCATTGTCATCCATAAAAATCCCATCGTTGTTTGAGTATGTGAATTCCATGAATGGCTGTAAGTGATCTCCAAGTAGCTGAAGGTATCCATTTCCAGTCAATGATCGGTTCAGTTGCACCAGAAGACCGAGTCCATGCCATGTTAAAACAGCCCAGACCATTATGGAACCACCACCAGCTTGAACAGTGCCTTATTGACAACTTGGGTCCATGGCTTCGTGGGGTCTGCGCCACACTCGAACCCTACGATCAGCTCCTACCAACTGAAATCGTGACTCATATGACCAAGCCACGGTTTTCCAATCGTTTAGGGACCAACCGATATGCTCACGAGCCCCCGAGAGTCGCTGCAGGCGATGTCGTGCTGTCAGTAAAGGCACTCGAGTCGGTCTTCTGCTGGCATAGCCCAAGGAAGACAAATTTCGCCGCACTGTCCTATCGGACACGTCCCTCGTACGTCGCACATTGATTTCTGCGGTTATTTGACGCAGTGTTGCTTGTCTGTGAACATTGACAACTCTACGCAGACGTCGCTGGTCTCGGTCGTTAGGAGCAGGTGGTCGGCCACTGCGCTGTCCATGCTGGGATGTTATGCCTGAAATTAGATACTCTCGACACACTCTTGACACTGTGGATCTCGGAATGTTGAATTCCCTAACGATATTCGAAATGGAATGACCCATGAGTCTAGCTCCAACTACCATTCCGCGTTTAAAGTCTGTTAATTCTCGTCGTGCGGCCATAATCACGTCAAAGCCTCTTCACATGAATAACTTGAACACAAATGAAAGCCCTGCCAAAGCACTTCGCATTTATACATTTTCTACGCGATACTACTGCCATCTGTATATTTGCATATTGCTATCCCATGACTTTTGTCACTTTAGTGTATATTAATGAGATACGAAAAATCGTCATTGCAATTTAAATAAATACAAAACAGTTTATAAAAAGTATACTAGTGAAATATAATATTATATTATTAACAACAGAAAGAGAAATTCAACAAAACTTACTAATTGAAATTTGATTCAGAGGAAGAAAATCAATTTAAGTTGTAACACATTTTTATATAGTTACTAAGTTTATTTAATGCTTCTCTTGATTCCAATAACTGGCTAAACCAATTTACCCAGTATTGTTCTGAAGATTGTCGTAAGTGAAATTTTTGGTATGTACGTTTAACATTTGGTAGTTAAGCAAATGTAGTCCCATTGTCCAAAATTACTGATATTCAGCATAAACTGAGTAAGAAGATTGGGATGCGGCTCACTAGCGGTTGAGTAGTAAAATCGTTGAACACTGGTAATTCAACCTGGATTCTATTCTTGGCTAACGAGTTAGTTGGATGGACGTTTCCGTGGTTATTTACATAATTAATGTGGACACGAACCAGTTACCATAAGAACGTCCTACACGAAGGCATCTCTTTCCTTTGGGCAGATAAGCCTTGTGTGCTTTGCCATAGTCAAATAAACCATTCAACCAACATTTGGATGCTCTAATATATCGGGAAGAGCTTTTACTACTCTTCGACTGGCTAGAGTAGAATTTAACTCTACACAGTTTTGAATTTATTTACATTATTATTCTACACATTTTGAACTCTTGGATTGGCTAGAGCAGAATTTACACATTGAACACATTTTTTAATTTATTCGTTCTTGCAAAAATGAAAGATTGCAGTAGTAGGGTACTAGAGCTATTTAACTTGTCAGAGAGAATAATTATCCTGTCTTTCTTATCTCTGAGTGCCAATCACGGTCGACTAAGAGTTTTGAAACACCGTAATTCTTAAGATGATTCTTCTGGCTTCCTTCTGCTTATTAAATTGGTATTTGGTTTGGCCTCAGAATAATTGCTGATGGCACTATGTAGGCATAGTGACATACTAATGGCATGCCTATGTGTCGATAAAATGTTGCATCCCGTGTTGCAGGGATTAGTTTCGTATTGACTGATTTTCGATATTACCGTAATTGCATTATTTTTAATGCCTATTGATATAATGTTTTTGTCAATCTTTCCCTTTTTTCGGCTTGTTCAAAATATTAAGAGCACAGTCCTCTGTTGCATCAAAAGCTGCTTTACAATTGACACATCTAAAGAAGAAACCATAGACAGCTAAACATGTTTTTAGCACAAACTGTTAAACATTTTCTCTTTCATTTTACGATGCAGAAAAAATATTTCATTGCTAGTTCTTTTTTTGGAGGGGGGGGTGAATCTTCCTTAGGTACCTGATGGCTATCATCAGGTATCTAAGACGGTTAAAGTTTCATTAATATATATTTTTGGTCACTGTATTCTAATATTATTTTTATTACCATGAGGTAATTTTTATAATTTTGGTTTGTATACAATGATTCATAAATATATACAGCAACTACTATAATGAATACGTACTTATATAACTTGTAATAAATATATAGGAAAACCGTGGCGAAAGTTACAGAATTAACGTTAAAGTAATTTAAACGTTTTTAAGTGTGTATATGAATAAGTTAAAAAATTGTGCAGTGTAATCAATTTAACTACACTTTTAGATTTTCTCTGTTGGTTTATTTCAGTAATGCACGCAGATGCATTCCTGCGTATTCAGAACTCCGTCGCGGTATCAGTTTATCAAGAATTAAAGCCGATTTTGCTCCTATATGCGCCATTGTCTGAATAATTCTCTAATGTATTCCGCACTTTAATATATTACGAATACTCTCCTTTGTACCCGTAGGATATCTATCTACCACCAATAAACGTTCATTTACTTAATCACAGAATAAACATTCGTAAAACGAGCAAAATCTCCCGCCATATCATTATATAAACTAATGTAGTATAGTAAAGAAGGGGAATTGTTTGCTTAGGGTATGAATTACTCCCCTTTAAACTTTGTTTGCGGAATGAATTATACGCAACACAGGACAATCTTTTTATTTCCTCTAGCAGTAAATAAAGTTGCATTTTCACCTTCAGGTTATAAAGACAGAAGCCTGAGAATTATTTGAAGCATTAAAGACGACATTATTATGCCCGAATTGAATAAATAGCTCTTTTATCTTATTCCAATTTCAACTTAACTACGGAACAAAAAAAAAAAAAAAAAAAAAAAAAAAAAAGGAAAATCTTTGTCATACTTAAACTTTGCATTGCTTTTCTCCAAATTTTCCATAAGTTTTCCCTATCGCAGCCTGTCAAATTATGAAAGTTCATAGCAATGTACTTAAGGTAGAGGAAAAAGCAAATTCTTCACTAATCTAAATTTTATTTTGCTAGAAGTTTTATGTTGTTTTTTTATCTAAATCAAGTGCAGCTAACTTATTGTGTGTTTTCTTTTTAAGGCAAACCTACTTTGGATAAGCTTAAAAAAGATATTGCTCAGCAAAGACCCTGCACTTTGGGCAGCTGTGAAGTAAGATATTCCATTATATATTCTTTTACACAACATTAAACATTCCTAATTTTTTATTTTACATGAAAAGGCACATTAACAATACCCTTCTGTCAGGAGTTTGACCAGAGTTATGGAAGAAATATGTCAATTTAAAAGTATTAGATGCATTAGAAGAGCTAAATTGTACCCTAAGAATGGACAAAATTTCTTTACCATATGATGCATTATAATTGAAAAGTGTTTATGCAGTTAAAGAGGTAACATGGCGCGGTTATCTCTTCATAAGAGACAAGCATTCTCAATATATGTTTATTCTATATTACCTTAAACATAAGCAATCACAAACGAGAACAACTGAGGAAAATCAAAGAAATGCATGAAAGATAGTTAGTGATAAAATATGTAAACAATTTGAAAGCGAGAATTTATAAAACTCATTCTGGAAAAATATATCTCTGCAGATAATCCATATTAGTTCTTAGTATCTTTGAAGAGTAATTTGTTTTGAATTGCAGAACACACCTCGATATTACAAAACCTCGATATTGCAAAACCTCGATATTGCAAAAATTAGAAATCAAAGTTTAAGGCAGCGGAATTTCAGATGAATCGCTTAGAATATTCTATTAGTATGATCTTGGAAAAGGCCGCCCAGACGGTATAGTGGTTAAGGGAGCTTGATTGAGAAACCGAAGGGCCCGGGTTAGAATCCCGGAGAAGGCATCCATGTAAAATTGTCTGTTTCTTCATAAGAGGTAACGTTGGCCGTCTATTAGGTGCCTTCATTAAGAGTAGGGAAGTGCACGAGATTAGAAAAAATTAATTTAGGAAAAAAAAAATTCCCTGCTTCATTTTTATTAAATCTACTCCAAGATAAGCGTTTTAGCATGGTGATTTCAAAAAATTTCATCCTTTAAATGTATTGCCCAATTATTCGCCTTTATCATGTGTACTTCACTTCAGGAACATTACAGTTGTATCACTCGTCTTAGTAAATGCTTTATCGAAATACTTTGCTATTACGTTGTAGAGTTGCGCGCCTCCAACCTGCACGCAACAAAGTGGTGACTGCTGAAACTGGGAATTAGACAGAGTCTTGAGAATGGTTTAAGTCCCTTTTTATTCAACTTTAGAAATTACAAATGCGTGCTCTTGACGCTCACAAACTACGCCGACCCGGCGTAAAATAAAAATAAGAAACTAAAAGAGATACTAACAAGTCACTAACTACGAGGCTCTCTAAACGTAACTAACCTTACCGCGTTTTACAATACCGCTGATACTTCAGCAAACTCTGAATATTACGTTGAAAGATTAAATATTTGCCGAGGCAAGCACACAGGCCGAAACGCGCGGTTCTTCAATTTCTAACTAGCCACCTCCACACTCGTGAAGCAAGAAAGCACACTTCGAACTCGTTTCCTTTCTAATTAACTCAGAATACTTCCGCTGATAAATTTGAATCCTTGCGCGTTCTACTAAAATTTACATACTCTGGCATTGGCAATTCCAGGGGAAAGTAAGGCTTGACAGGAAAGATAGTTTAAACTTAAAATAAATGTTAGTTAAAATAAATTAAACCCTACAACGTTTAGAATCAAAGTTTAAGGCAGCGGAATTTCAGATGAATCGCTTAGAATATTCTATTAGTATGATCTTGGAAAAGGCCGCCCAGACGGATAGTGGTTAAGGAAGCTTGATTGAGAAATCGAAGGGCCCGGGTTAGAATCCCGGAGAAGGCGTCCATGTAAAATTGTCTGTTTCTTCAAAGAGGTAACGTTGGCCGCCTATTAGGTGCCTTCATTAACAGCAGGGAAGTGCGATTGGAAAAAATTAATTTAGGAAAAAAATTCCCTGCTTCTTTTTTATTAAAACTACTCCAAGATAAGCGTTTTAGCATGGTGATTTTAAAAAATTTCATCCTTTAAATGTATTGCCCAATTATTCGCCTTTATCATGTGTACTTCACTTCAGGAACATTACAGTTGTATCACTCGTTTTAGTAAATGCTTTATCGAAATACTTTGCTATTACGTTTAAAACTGAAGTCATATTTAAAAATAGAGAAGTGTTCAATAAATGTAAATGTCTGTCTCCTCATTTTTTAAGGTAATGTTTAGATAATGATAGTGAATGATATGTGTAAATATTCCAGCCTTATCTACCATTAAGTATTATTTTTTAAATGGATATTGTTGAATGATGGCAATTCATGAGGAGTCTCCCTAAAGCAGGCTCATTGCAAGATAATATTGATATCCTTTAAAACTTGATTCCTTCTGGATGGATTCCGCTTAAAGATTTCCTCAGGAGATCCCATTTTAACAAGGGTATCAAAACTCTGCGAGAGAGAGAGATCCAGTTTATATATGTCCTCCGTTTCTTCTTTGCTTGGCTTCTGCTCTCTGCTTTTACTCCTTGGGTTTTCCGTTTCGGAGGTTGGGGTTCAAAGTGAGATGCTGTTATATCTAGTTTCTCGTTGAGAGAAAACTTCGTATGCGTTAGTCCGGCATGAAGATACGTAAGACTGGAAAAAGAGAGTCCTAGTAGTTGAGCACCAATGTACTTTTCCGTTGCTTCAGACTGAAATGAATGGCACTCATCTGCTCTGCTGGTATCAGCTGGCTGGTTAGACTGCCTGATATCAACTGGCTGGTTTATAGGCCCGTTTAGAACTGGCTCAAAATTCTACGTCGCTCTCCTAGACTCCGTAGAAGCTGGAGCAAAAAGGATCGAATCTTTCATTTTTTTCAATATAACTATTTCTAATCCTCAAAGTTCAAATGAAACTATTATTTCTTCTTCAAAGAACATATGAGTGCCAATAAAGACAAACGTACATAACGATTCCTTGTTATCAACAACAGAAGAGACGCTTTGCAAAAAAAGGTCTCCATTTCGTACTTTAACCATTAGACACAAATATATATATGTATAATCTTTGTGTTGGTGAATCAAAGAATATCAAACGACTGCACTCTGGGTATATCATTTTTTTAGTACCGTTTCTGCACACCTAGGCTTGGGCTAATCGACGTAAGTGTCTTAGAGTACAAAATATTAAAAAGGCTGTCGCGACTTAGTTTGAGAGACCTACCTATTTTTCTTGTCAGAATAGGAAATTATCACTGAGCAGTCCTAACAGAATGGCCGCGCTGCTAGGTGGATAAAGATGCGCATAGAAGGTCAGTTGAAGGATACGAAACACGTGAGCCTGATCTGCGCCCGGCTACTTACATTGTCCACCTAACTGCATTTGCCAGCGTTTGGACCATTCCACGTGCATGTTGCTTTGTGGAAGGTCACGACAGCGATAATTGCAACAACAGCAAACTGTGGCCCAATTGCAAAGGGAAGCATACAGCATTCTCTATGCCAAAAACGGAGGTCAGAAACGTTGGTGCAGAGACGCAGTCAAGAAAACACTTACCGAATGAATGCAAAATAAGTTAAATCAATAGGCACTCAGACTAAACTAAAAATATCAACAAAAATTGCAAGAATATACTTTAGAGAAACCCACAGGCAAAACACAAATTCTAAGTGAAATAAAGATCCCAAATGATCCCAATCCGTTAATGAGAAAACGCAAATTCAAAACCTCTCAGAAATTCAAGTGTGAGCTATGAAAGTCTTATTCTTAGATATATCAAGAAGAGACACTGAGCATCCCAAAACATCTACATCTAGATCAAACCAAAAACCTGCACCAAAAGAACAAACTCATTCATAATAACCACTCTCAAAATTATCTAACGTAGTTGGCCCTTAATTAAATTAACCGACGAATACCAACAGGCACGTTCAATATGGCCGAACGCAGTTAGCTTTAAACGACGAAGTAGCCTGAAGGCGAACACGCACCACTAAGGACTTCTAAGCTCTTAAGTAAGCGAAACTTTCCTGAAACCTTCTACTGAAGTAAGCGAAACTTTCCTTTAATTACTCTTTCTACCTCATTTACATGTAACGCGATACTAAAAACTTATTCTGGTAGGGAATAGTAGGTGGGAAACGGAGTACAGCATGTTTAAAAATTAAAATAACTTTTATAAACTTAAAATAACCTCTACACAGCTTTATATAATATGCCAAAAATTCATAGCTAAAATTGTACATAACTTGGTTTTTATAATTGAAGAAACACAAAAGGACACACAGTGATCCACAGTGAAGATCATAGTGTAGATCGTAGTGCTTACACCCCATATGAAGGCAGAGGGATAAACATGAGCGAAGAAAATAAACATTTGATTCAACTGGTCATTATAGCCAGATAAACAGCATTTTCATGTGCTCACACTGTTAACATTTGAACTTTGTACGCTGATAGAATACCTCTATATTCTTTGATGCTAGTGTGGAAGCGGATTCTTTATTCCGTTTCATTTCCAAGATTGGAGTTCGTACGATGCGAAGCTGGTGCACACATTTTAGTTTCAAGATATTCAGTATTTTCAAATTTTCACTGGGCTTTCAGACTTTTCAAAATTTCTGCCCAAGTTGGCCAATAATGCTTTTTTACGGGTATTTTCAGATGACGAGATCTGTAATAGACTGTCTATGATAAATTCGAAGTATTTAAGCTGCTACATACATTTGATGGACTATAAGAATTTGATTCTAGGATTACATTTAACACGCCTTTTCGCACAAGCAATAGTGCTTGGGTTTTTCCACCATATATTTCAAAGCCGTACTGATAAAGTAACGGGTGGCCATAATTAAACTGACAATGCTCACAGTGTTCTGTAGCGCGATCTATTTGCGAGAATGACGCCACATTTTGTAGGAAGATTAAACAAGACGGGGGACGAAGGATTCCGCGAAAAAAAATTAGTTCCAAAAGTCACCGCTAGGCGAATATTTGGCGCTGTGTAATAAAAATAGAGTGTTAACAAATGCAAATCAGTAGGGAAATTACCTTTTATTTTGCATTCAAATGAGGTTCAATGTGGCTGCCGTTGTTGTGGACCACATATTGCATTTTGTGCACAGTATGCACAACAGCAGAAAGT